ATGATGACATCACTAACTATGATGATGTGGGGGAGGGGCTTCTGTGAGAGGGAGGGGTCTTGGGGAGGGGCAGAACTGTATCAATTCTTGTGTATCAGTGCACATAGTTAAAAGTACATTCGGTACAATTTTTTAATTTTTAAGGTTTCTGTCCTATTCAATCATTTAACAATTTATGCTTCAAAAGTAAATTGTATGAGTACCACAGTAGTTAATCATCTTTTTCTGTTCATTCTTTTTCATCTACATATTTTTCAAATTTAATATTTAAAAATAAAATTTTCTTTGTAATTTCCTTGTTTTTCTGTCTTATTTTTATTTCAACACTGAAATTTTCATTGACAAGTAACATCCTTTGACACACAGAGTACAGTTTGTTATCTTCTTAGCATCGTATCCAGCACTTTTGTGGAGGTCATGTGATTTGGAGCCTCCTAGTGGAGGTGCTGCCTCCATTCCTGAAGTTTGCATGACGTCATGTCTGGCCCAGGTGTGGAGATCATGTGATTTGGAGCCTCCTAGTGGAGGTGCTGCCTCCCTTCCTGAAGTTTGCATGACGTCATGTCTGGCCCAGGTGTGGAGATCATGTGATTTGGAGCCTCCTAGTGGAGGTACTGCCTCCCTTCCTGAAGTTTGCATGACGTCATGTCTGGCCCAGGTGTGGAGATCATGTGATTTCCAGCCCCACCGTAGAGTCCTACTAGTGGAGGTCGCCCAGTGCTCTGCAGCCAGACCATTCTCCAGTCTATGGCGTGCATCCAGAGGCATTTATGATGTAAAGTATATGATGTAAGATCATGTACAGTATTATTTAGAATCAGTTGTTTAAGCTGTTAATATCTTATATAAAGAAATTAAAAAGCAGGCAAGTAGTCTAGTTTTTATTGTAATGATCTTAATTTAATTTTTGTAGATCTACCCTCTTTCATGATTTTGATAATCACTAATACAAGAAGTCTTTGAAAGTTATTGAGTTGACTGTGTTTTACTACCAGGCCAGTATTAGGCCAAGAGGTATGTTTGTTTGGAAACTAAAAAAACAACTACTAAGAGCATTTCATTCTTTATCCTTTAGCATGATGCATCAACCTTTAAATGCAGCTATCAACATAAACGTGCAATGTTATGCAAGGCTTCATGGTTCCGGAACTGGGGAACGACATGGGAAGGATGCATTACCACCGGCTACCACAGGGGGAGACACTGCAAAAAAAAACAATTTACTAGAATACTAGAATTTTAACTACTACATGTTTTACTGAAAAATTGCATTTAAAATGTACTATTACTGGAAATCTTAGTTTTAATAATCAACACATGGTTTACTGTTTTTACAAATTCATTAAAAATTTTATATTATTGATAAGTAACAAGTCTAAGTATTCTGGCTGAAAAGTCTCAAGTCAGTCACATAAAAAGTGGGTAAGTGTGCGTAGTACAAAATATATAAATCATCACAATACTCATACAACAGTAATGTAATATACTGTAATACTATAATAATGATGGCTGAGGATGCCCCTCCGCATGCAGGCTTGACGCCCTCCGGGGATCCTGCGTCCCCCGTCTGCCGTAACGCAGAGCTGCAGAGCGCGAGAGGCACCGCTGCTCCACCTCCTGTAGTCGCCTCTCTTCCTCTCTCTCAGACTCGCCGCCCGCCTTACAGCTCCAGCTTCTTCTCCATCTGCGCACGCAGTTTGTTCTTCT